ATATGAGGATATTGCAGTTGGAGCCCCCCTTGAAGATCAGCTTTCAAACAGTTCTTCTTTGGCAGCTTTTACGTCTTTAATGGGGATAAAGAGAAGATCAGGAGCTGTTTTTCTCAAGTACGTGTTGTCTTGGGAATTGCCTCCAGAACACCTTGAGAGGGAAAAGCTTGTGGTTTTGTGGCAGAGGCTGGGAAGAAAGACTTCACATTTCATTTGCATTGGTGGGTGAGAACTTTGCAATGCCAGATGGTTTATGTGCCTCCACAGGTTTCTGCAGCAGAGCTGCTCCTTAATTGTAATTATTCACCTGTCTGCTTAGGGAAAGGAGTTGGATTTAGGTGCTGCGTATAGAATTGTATATTCTTTTGCAAGTGTCCATTCATTACCGGAAGGTAAAAGTCAATATTTTGCATCTCAGGAGTGTTAAAAACTCATCCTCACACCAGCCTTGTGAAAGGAAGTATATTTTCCCAAGGACAGGAGAGAGATTCTGACTTGTATTTGTTGATGTTTTCCCCACTTCTAGAAAGCAAAAGCCTCTGAAATCTCTCCAGTATTTTGGACAATCCATTGGTGGTGGCTTTGACTTCACTAATGATGGTCTCCAAGATACTACAGTAGGATCACTGGAGAACAGGATTGTGCTTCGGTAGGTAATAAGTGCTATTTTTTAGTGTGCTGGGGAAATGTTTCAAAGACAAATATAGAATCTGTGTTCCAAGCACTATGTAATGATTCTATTTTTAATTCAGCATCAGAGGGACATAAAAAAAAATCTTTCCCAGTGCTAAAAATTATTTAAAATGTAAAGCTTTTAGTTCAAGTTGCAAAAGCTTTGCACAAGTATGAGACGGTGAACACGAACTGATTAATGTAGATCTGGGCCTAAGATGACCTTGATGTCTGCAATTCAGCATGGATAATGTAGGTCATTTAGGAAAAAAAAAAAATAACTTCTTTACATACCGTGCCTCATTTTCAATCAGACATCTGGTGCAGTTCGAAAAGGCTGAGACATGGCAAACGTTTCATTTTTTTTTTTTGCATTTTTTATTTGAAAAAAAATGTAGATAAAGAGAGAATTTGAACCGCTAAATAATGTGTTTATCTAATGGAAAGATAAACACCATGTTTAATTCTGAAACTCTTGCCATATTGGTGTATTTTGGCTGCTTGTTCCTTCAGACTCTTGGGATTTTGTGTGTTCTGAATGTTCCCAAGCAGAAACGGGAACTTCTGTAAATAGGGCAGCCTAGTCCAGGTGAAATACCATGGAAATACTGAGCCATTCTTAACTCTTGCTGCCAGGCTTTTTTAAAACACTTCCCCTGTAATGTTTCACTTCAAAAATTTATATTTGATTCTGTCCTTATTTGTTCTTCAGTGACTAACTTGAGAGCAGTTGTCCACGTTCTCACCAGCAACCCGGAGAGAATCCCCATTTTCCAAAATAACAGAATTGCTACAGCAAAACTACATCTCGATACAATCTCAGCCTTACCAGTGTCTCAACAAGACAATAAAATGGAAATTGTGATCAAATGGAAATCTACAGTCCTATGCTGTCCTCAGAAACTTGGCACTGAGCACACTTTCTGGTGCATCTAATGAAGGATTTTGAAAATCTTGCAGTGTTTTCGCAGTTGTACATTCTCCACACGGTGGATTTAGATGTGAAAATGGACAACATTTAGCACTGAGCAGTAAGGAACACTAATTACTATATTTGCAGTACTCTTAGGGATTATGATGTTGATAGTACATTTATTTCCTGAGAATAATTCATGAGATTCTTGAGTGCTGGTCAGCATTGCTTAGTACTTATTGCACCCAACATCTAATTACTAATTATCATTGAACTTCTCCAGAAACAACAGCCAGACAGTATATTTTTATTGCTGAATAAAACTATTGCTAAAGAAAGTAATCTCATCTCTACAAAATCGTGTGCCTATAAGCTGGCACAGCATTTGAACTTCTTTATTCAAGAAAAACGTATCATCTCTGGAAAATAAATTAATATGAATTGTCCTGTGGCAATCCAGAGGTAAAGAACTGGCATTTCTTTAACAAAACCTTGTCCCCAGTGAAGACTTTTAATGTTATTGCTAATAGACCTTCTCCTGGGAGCTGAATTACAAAACATCATCTATTTAGGACTGACTTATCACTAGAGGGTCTTTTATTTCCAACTTCTCCTTAATTGAAGTCATGGGAATTTTGGTTTTCAGAGAATGTGTGTGTATATGTAAAGATACTCTGAATCTGCTACCTTAGAAAAAAATAGGACTATTAAAATCTAACTTGACCTGTGTTTGCTTTCAGTGTCCTTACAAGAAGGAAAACAAGACCATCTGTGCTGCTCTTTTAACTTTGACAAGTCAGACCCAGTGAGTCACAGTAGTTGTATCATCCAGATTTTGCATTTAGCATTCATATAAAATGTCATCTTTGTGCATAAGATGTTTTCATCAAATTCCCAGACAAGATTGATTTGCTGTCCCTTTGTTTATGTTACTTTCCATCCAGTTCATCCTTCCATAACAGCACGTTCACACAAGGCTGTAACTGTGTGCTGCTGTGGGCATTGCAGGGCTGGGCTGGGAAATCTGAGAGGAAACACCAAGGTTTAAACAACTATAGTCATCCTAAAGTCACAATTCTGGCATTTACTTGTGAACACGTGATTTTGTTTTAGGCTGGTGCACAGCAAAGAGCTGCCCAGTTTCCATCACCTTTGACCAAACGGTAGCCATCACGTCAATGTCAAATTTACCCTGGAGATTCAGTGAAAATGTAATCAAATGGAACAACGTTAAAGTTTATCTTGATGTAAAACAGAAATGATAAAATGTTAAAGTTTGGAGATGACTGCCTTCAATATTAAGAAGGAAGCATTTTCCAACACACCCTGAAGAATATTGAATAATTAATTGGGCCATTATGTTATCCTGTGTGTGAAATCATTTGGAGAGAGTAATTATCACAACCAGAACGCTTTGGGCCTCTTACTGAATAATAACCCTTAAAAATTACAGGTCACCCACCTAATTTTTCTGTCTGTTTCTAGAGAGGAGCTAGTGGTGGGCACGCTACAGAAGTGACCGTGAATGTTTCACTAACAAACACTGGAGATCAAGACCACAGTTGTCATGTACGAGTTAACTATCCTAAAAACCTACTTTTTGAGAAGGTGACTGTTGAGGTAAGATCACAGAACAACTCTTCAGCTGGCAGCAGACTGTTGAAGGAAAAACCATCGCAGACTGCTATTCATTTACTAGCAAAATAAATCCTGAAGTAAGGTCCAGGGGAAGGGAAGGAGCATTTCAGTTGTTGGGACTAGAACCCGAGCGCTGAATTTATCTGATTTAAGATTCTCAAGATTTTATGGGGCTATTTGTACCTAATTCGTTTTATGGGAGCAGACACAGACTGAGTTTAATTTCCCGGTCTGTTTTTATTCAACATTAAAGAGCATTCCTATTCTCTTGGCAGCCATCCTCTCCGGCTGCTCACTGTGGCCAACCAATACCATTAACTTCTGAGTCTTATCCTCTAACTGCAGAATTTGGCATCTGCTGTTCAAGACGACACAGAGATCGTTATTTTCACTTTCCCCCCCACCTCTAAACGATACTTTGAGCAGCTGCTCTTGTGTCCTCTCCCTCTATAATTAGGCCAGAGCTTCTATTCCTTCAAATTCAGCTTATGGCTGGTATGAATTTTCTCAAGGCAAGAGATAATTTTTATATCCCTGCACTTAATGTCAAATTTTTCCAGAACGGAATGATTTCGTGTTTTAAGGGTACGCTGTTGAGTTAAAGAGTATTTACAGGGTAATCGATATTTTATTGTGTCTTTTTCTTCCCTCAAAACAGGCAAAATTTTCAGTGATTTGGCAATTAGATGAAAGCACAATGCAAAATAAGCCTGTAAGCACCATTAATATCACCAAGTGAGTATAGCCATTTTCACCACAAAATACACTGTGAGCTAGGAAGGGAATACCAGAATCCCTACTCCATGTCCATACTGGACACAGAACTGTCACTGGGTGCAGCTACACTTGTCCTGTTCAACCTTTGAAAGCATTTGGGTCCATGTGAAAAATCTTTCCTTCCCTTATGATAATTTTAGCTTTGCTCATACTTCATTATTTCAGTTAAAGGTAGAGCACCCTTGGACGTCCTAATTTAAGTGTATTTCAAAGCTTGCGTTTCTGAAAGGGCAAAGAGGGTTCTGACATCCTTCTTCCTTAGCAGAGAGGACAGATGAGTGAAATACCTCATCCAGCTCTGTTCCAAGTAAAGCTTTCCTACCAAATGGTTGGGATGAGACCATATTTTCAGGGCATTTTTCCTGTTTAGGGGCTTTCTACAGTGAGAAAGTTCCCAGGCGGTTTCGGTTCTTGTCACGTTCCTCCTATTAAAATTTATGGGGACAGCCTGGTACACAGCATTTTTAAACAGAGAGCATCTTTAAAAGGGAAATGAGACCTCATCTCTGGCAGCCACTCTTTGTTGCAATCACAGCTCCAGGCAAAGGTTTCTATATTAATTTAGCATCCAGTGCTGTGAGGGGCAGAAGCTTTAAGCTTTGATTAATGAAAGCAATATGACATATTCACAGACTAGCATTGGTTTGTGGGGAAACATTTCAAGGCTATGGCAACTTTCAAAATGTGTGGTAATAAAGGGCTACTCCAGCACTGCTGTCCCACGTCACCAAGCAGGCTGGCACCTCTCCTTTCCTTAATTACTGCTGTTCCATCCCTCTTGTACAGCCAATATTGGCAGTTCTCAAACTGCAGATAATAACCTCGTTTCATCCATCCTGCCTCTTTTTTTTTTTTTTTAAAGCATAAAATGAAAATAGCACCAATCTGGCTGAAGAACACATCCTTGATGTCAGATATGCATTCACTGCAGTCCTTACCAAGTAAGTTTTAAGAATATTAAATTATATTGCATTACTTTAGTCAATTAGAGGGGGAAAAAAGGATTGAGAGGATGCCTGGTAAGATTCCAATACAATTTCCATTTTAATAATTTCAAGCACTGCAGATTGTCAAGTCATTTTCTGTGGTACTAAACAGCAAAAGAGTCTGGAAGACAGAACAATAAAACTGTATCACAGGGGCTTGTAAAAAGTAGACTTCAAGACAAGTTCAAAGATGCATCTAATTGATAGACTGCATATAGACACTCACATATAGACAAATGGCACAGACACCATTCCAGTTATAACAAATCCAATAACGCTACCTCTTAATAACTTAATGCACCTGGGTCATTTGGTTTACTAATTTTTAATAATAATCGAATTCACTTTTAACTTAGTTTGATTTATCATTCTCTTTAGACCAGTTTCTTTAACGTTCTCTAACTGAACGTTAGCAAAGGACATCTCTAAAGCAAAGAATTAAAACCTAATGTAAGTGCAGCTTCAGATTCAGGTCACCTGATCCATCCGCAGTCAGGCCTAAAGAACACTAATCACCATGTGCATTTTCTTCTGTAGATAAATGGAGAAAATCGCTTTAATGCTACCATCAAGTTACAGATTTGGGTTCCTATCCGTATACGAGGTCACAACAGAATAATGGCCAAAAATGCATCAGGAACACAGGTACTTTTTCTTATTTTTTTCTTAATCCAGTACCTCTTCACTGGTCCTTACAGAGGAAAAAAAAAAAGCATATTGTTGCAGATTAGAGTGTTTTTAAAGCCTACACTGCAGAAACACTACATATTCACATTTTGTAGCATCATTCCAGGTATAAATTTTGCCAAACTGAACAGGAGTTCATTTTTAAAAGTAAGTCAGAAGGTGGAGTTCCCCCCCCCCCAATCTCTGTCCCCAGCTGGGCTGAGAATATTTACCTTTATCCTCACTGCCCAGAATATTTTTTATTTTTTTCTTTAAAGACAATAATCTAATATTAAAAAGGTAAGAAAACTGTGGAATTCAAAACATTACTTGAGCACAAAGGTGTCTTTCCCCCCCCCCTTCTCAAATATCAACTCTGTTCCCTCCCCCACCATCACCCCTCAAAAAAAGTACCCATGGAAACTTTTTAAAAGCACAAGACTTTTAGGGCAGTTTTTTAGACATCTTTGATAGCATGTTATACACACTGGTAACCGATCGTAACGTTTCTTCATTGTGCTGACGTTTATAAATGTCATACATAAAAAAAGAGCAAAGGAGAAAGGCAGCACCAGTGAGTGAGTTCTTGGCAGCATCGCGCTCCCCTGCTCACTGGAAGAGGCTGCTGTTTTGTAAAACGTCACTGGCGGAGTCAAAGCTCAGGACTTCTTTGTGGAACTCAACGAGCTGCTGCTTTATTTTCCTCAGGGAAGCGGTTGATGATGCCTTTTTCTTGTAGCACATGCACTTCAAAAATTTATCTGACAAGTAGTGGAGCCAGAGGACGTTGCTGTGTGGGTGATAGTCCGTCCAGCTGTTGGCGTTCTCCTCTTTCATTTGCCTGTAGATATCAAACTGATAGTCCCCCGTGCCTTGGAAGAGTTCTTCATCAGTGGAAAGGTCACAAAACACAGTCAACTCGTCCTTCTCCAGCCGTGACAAGGTATAATCTATGATGTTGACGTGAACCCCTGCTGTGGGGATGGTGTGTGTTGTCCCGTTCAGCACGTAAGTGAGCTCCTTGACGTCCGTTTTCTTGACCAGGACGTTCCCCCAGTGCAGGTCTCTGTGCTCGAAGCACAGTTGCTGCTCTGCCACAGCCAGGGAAGCAGTCACCTGGTGCAAAACACTTTTTGCCGATGCCACCGAACTGAACCTGTTTCTCATATTCTCCAAGTCACTGCCTCCAAATTCAAATTCTAGAACCATGAAGAGCTGTTCCTCTCCAAAAAAATCTGGCCTATCATTTTCCGATCCCACTGCTTCATGATACTTGTCCCAGGCTTCCAGGAGATACTTAGGATAGGCCCCTTGAACACAGTGCACAGAGTACAAGCTGATGAACCCAACAGTCCTATTCACAGACTCCTCAGACAGAAGACTGAGTTCTTTTGAAATTATGATTTCAGGCAGAATCTCTCCAAAGCTCTTTTGAGCTTCACCATTAACTTTTTCAGTGCCTTCAATGGGAATTATTTTTAAGGCCACAGGTCCTCTCTCACTGTCAATCTGGAAGACCTCTCCGAACACTCCTTCTCCAATTTTCTTGCAATCTTTCATCTTATCTAAAGGGATACATTCCTCAAAAGCGATAGGCCCTTCTTGGTGGCATTCCCCAAACACCTTCTCTGCGTCTGTGAGCATTGGCTCCAGGACAGAAGAAAAATTGTTGGGAGCCAGCAGGATCATGGAGGAAGCAGACCAAGCGCCACACTGAGCCATACCAGCAGATTGGGTCAATTGGTGCTCTGAAAGCTGGAATTTGGTAGAAGGGGTACCAAAGATGCTGTTGCAGAAACTCCCTTCTGTGGTAACTTTCTTCTTCTTATGGAAGGACAAAGATGCTCGAACTCTACCCCAGGCCTGGGAGCTATTGAGGAATGAACAGCCATTGTCCCTTACATCTACAGACGTCTCCAGAACGTCCTTCTTCATTCCTTTTTGCCTCATCTGTGGTCTGAGAAATGAGTTATTAGGCTGCTTCTGCCTCTTATTTTTGTGCCTTTTTGGACGGAGCCTTATTTGCTTTCCCCACCGGCTGGCACTGAAGCCACTGATGCAAGCTTTTCTACAGCTACTTCCCACTCCGGGCATCACCCCGGTACTTTTATGTTTATTCTCCAAGATTCCTTGACGGCCCGGAGGAGACACCGGCTGCGGGCAGGCGGGCTGAAGAGCTGCCTCTTCGTTGCATTTTGCGCTCATCAGCCACATCTGCACCTCTTCGGGATCCAGGACCACCACCGGCTTAAGATGGTACTTCTTGGCTTTGCCGCTCTGATAACCCGAGCTCCCTTTGGTTGAGTCTCTCCCCGGATCCTCACAGGGCTCGGCAGAAGCGGCCCCGTCGTGCGGCGTGGAGTGCAGCGGCTGCCGGTTACCGGGGGGCAGCGCTGCCCGAGGAGGGGACGTGTCCTCCTGCGGGGACGGAGGAGCCTGTGCCCGGCAGGATGCCCGCACCGATGCCCTCAGGACCCTGCCGGACTTCTCCAACCCCGCACCTCGGGGACGGGGCTCTCCAGCCGCCCCGGCCCCCCTCTCCCCCCGCGCCCGCCGCTCCCGGCCTCCCCGAGGCGACCGGGGCGGGCTGAGGGCGCTGCGGGAGGAGGCGGCGGCCGGCGGGGAGTAGAGCTCCGGGCTGCCGCCCAGCTCCGAGCCACCGTCCGCGCCGCTGCTGTACAGAATGAGGGAGCTGAGCTCGGCCGGCGGGGCCTGGCGGCGGCGGCGGGGCCGGAGGCGGCGGGCGCTGCCGGGGGGTGGCCATTGCGGGGTGCTGCACAGCAGCGGGGGGCGACGGCGGGCGGGGGACGGGGATGGGGAGGAGGAGGAGGAAACGACGAGGGTCTCCGGCTCCGGCGGACGGTTCTCCTTCCCCGCTCGGCTCCGCAGGCGCCAGGGGCGGGCGGGACCCTTACCCTGGGGCTGGCGGCTGCGCTTGCCGGGCAGCGAGTAATCGGGGTCGTCCGAGGCGGAGGAGAGGGCGCTGGAGCCGACCGACGTCGAGCTGAAGAAGCGCTTGCGGTCCTGAGGCGGCGATATCCATCGCTCGGGCGGGGGCAGCCAGCGGAGCTGCCGGCCGCGGCGGGAGTAGGTGCGGAACAGGCGCGCCGGGGGCGCCATGGCGGCCAGGCCTGACAGCGCCCGCCCGCCGCCCGTTCAAACGGGCTCTCGCGAGAGCTGGGAGGGGGGGGCGAGAGGACGGCGCGGCCACGCCCCACACGGGAGAGGGCGGAACCCGCGGCCCCGCCCCGCCCCTCGGCCGGTCTGCCCCGCCCCTTGACCGGCCAGGCCCCGCCCCCCCGCGCGGTTTTCCCGGGAGTTCTGCGCTCCGGGGGTTCGGTTCCCGGGGGCGGCACCGCCTCCCGGTGTTGTTATTGTTCATCCGTGAACTGGTGGACGGGTCCTCGGGAGGGTTCCGGCGGCGCAGAGCCCCAGGCGGGCGGTGCTGCTGCGGGGACGGCCCCAGGGACACCCGCGGGAGCCGGGGACTGAGCCGCTCTGTTGTATTTGAGGGCATTCGGGATGTGCGTTACCAGCGCCCGCACTGACGGGGACAGAGCCGCCGTGGCAGCGGAATTGACCTTAAACATCTGTCCCCGGGTGTGCACGGAAGAGAAGAACCTCAGGAGGTTCAATAAAAGCAAGCGTTGGGTCCTGTGCCTGGGGAGGAGGAATGGCAGGCACCGATATGGGTTAGGGATGGACCTGCTGGAAAGCACTTCTGAGGAGGATCTGGGGGTCCTGGTGGATTGTAAACTGTCCATGGGCCAGCAATGTGCCCTGGTGGCCAAGAGGGCCAGTGGGATCCTGGGCTGCGGAGGGAAGAGTGGGGCCAGGAGGTCGAGGGAGGTCATTCTCCCCCCCTGCTCTGCACTGGGGAGGCCACAACTGGAATCCTGTGTCCAGTTCTGGGCTCCCAAGTTCAAGAGAGACAGGGAACTACTGGAGAGGGTCCAGTGTAGGGCGACAAAGATGATTAAGGGATTGAAGCACCTCCCTGATGCGGAAAGGCTGAGGGAGCTGGGGCTGGTTGCTCTTCTACACGTGATGCAAGAGCAATGATTGATTCACGGCAGTGTCTCCCGGGAGGCACCCAGTGCTTAGAAGAGGTCCTCTTGCTTCCTTCAGAAACTGTTTTTTGTGAAATGACTCTTACAGATCCACAAGCTTTCATCATTCCAGACGATTTCTCATCACATAAGGCTATATTCACCAGACACGGCTTGGTGGCAGCACTGGACAGGGCGGTTCTTACAGTCCAAGTAAGGATTTGCTGTTGCAACATGTATTTCTGAAAAGACTGAAAAGCAGCTGGTATCTTGTTCCTTTTATTTCTTTCTCCATGTTCTTAAAAATTCTGACTGAAAAGCAGCTGGTATCTTGTTCCTTTCAGTTCTTTCTCCATAGTTCTTAAAAATTCCCCAAATGAGCACACCCACCACCCCTGAGTCAGGGGCAGAGCCCAGCAGCGAGCTGCAGTGTTGCCACTTGCCCTGCTGCATGTGTGACTGAAAGTAGGGTGAATCACAAGCAGTCTCAGTTTATGGGTATTATGCAGATTATCAGTACTCCAAATGAGCACACCCACCACCCCTGAGTCAGGGGCAGAGCCCAGCAGCGAGCTGCAGTGTTGCCACTTGCCCTGCTGCATGTGTGACTGAAAGTAGGGTGAATCACAAGCAGTCTCAGTTTATGGGTATTATGCAGATTATCAGTAATTGCAATTTACAAGGCTTGGGGAAAGAAGGTCCCTGGCCGAAGCCAGTGACTGGCTTTAGCCACTACCGAGCGTTTTCTTGCCTGAGCAAGGAACTGATCTTGGGCCCCCTCAGGTGTTTGCCGTTTCCAAAGAAGGACAAGCACAGAGAGCCCAGCAGCGAGCTGCAGTGTTGCCACCTGCCCTGCTGCACGTGTGACTGAAAAGAGGGTGAATCACGAGCAGTCTCAGTTTATGGGTATTATGCAGATTATCAGTAATTGCAATTTACAAGGCTTGGGGAAAGAAGGTCCCTGGCCGAAGCCAGTGACTGGCTTTAGCCACTACCGAGCGTTTTCTTGCCTGAGCAAGGAACTGATCTTGGGCCCCCTCAGGTGTTTGCCGTTTCCAAAGAAGGACAAGCACAGCAGCCATCTGGTACAATTCCTCTCTGTGGCTTTCTCTGCCCCTAATTGTGTAGTTGTTTTATTTCTGTTGTATTTGGCCAACCATAAACCCCACAAATCTAAAGCGTGTTTACACCCAGCGGTAGATTAAACACAGATTTTCCCTTCAAACCTTCAGAAGACAAACCAGCTCCTGTCTCCTTTGGCTTAACCAGTGTTGCCTGATGGAAAACTAAAGTTAACATGCAAACTGTGGCCTTCGTTGAAGTTTCCTTGTAAAATTCCTGCCTGGTGCCCAGGTAGGGCTATTAATACATCTCTTCAAGGCTATTACAGGGCTCACCTTCCCGGTGGGATGAGCTCCCTGCAGGCAGTGCAAGCCTGGCTACGTCCTACCTCTAAATTTGGCTAAAGGTGGTGAGCACACCAACCTGCACGCTTAGGACAGAAGAGGTACCACAGCAAGATATTGTTTGAATAATATAGGACCCTTGTGTGACTTCCAACACTAAGAGAGAGAGAGGTGCAGAGGTCTCGTACTGGCATCCAGCTCAATCAGCAGCTGCACCTGTTCTTCTGGCTTGAATTTCTTCCTCTCTCTCCTCCCTGGCTGATGGTAGAGTTCCTTGGAGCTGCACAGAGAGTGAGTTGCTCCAGATCTGCTCACAGGTGCCAGGGATTGAGGAAATGAGACTTCCTAGGTGAGAGCTCAGAAAGGAAATTAGTGCCTGACCCAAGGAACCACCTGTGTCAGGGGTTTTGTCATAACAGCTCTGGGCTCTTTGGAAAGGAAGGTGCTTTGCCTGGTGTGAACAATTGGACTATCACCCCAGTTTGTGTAAATCCTCTTTTTTTGGTACTGTTTTTAATTACATCTTCTTTGAAAGTAAATTCTTGCAAGAGAAGCCTGGCTGCCTGTCCCCCTTGCTGGCAGAAGGTGGTTTGAGCATTTTGCATGTCTCTGGATGGGCTGCTTCCCATCACTTAGTTCAGATTTTGGCAGAGCTGGTACAAATGTGTTCTTCTTTGTGTGTCCCTGTGACCCAGGACGTTTATGAGGAATTAAGTACGTGGAAAGTGGAATATGCCGGGCTGAGAGAGAGAATCCCTTTGAAGACCTTCAGGCAAGAGAGCTGCTCCTCTGGAGCTGCCCGGGGCAGTATTGACTGAGGTGGGGGCATTAAAAGGAAGACACTTTTTCAAAGGTTTGTGTTTTATTCGCTTATTTATTTTCAAGTTTCAGGGCATGCTGGCTTTTTTTAGAAGAGAAAAATGTATTGTCTGCTTTTTCCACTGCTCTAGAGAGATCTTCCACTGAGTGACACGTGGTGTGGCTGATTGTTGGTGAAAGGACTACAGTATATCAGCAGGTGTGGTCTTGCTGCCCGTCCTCCCTCCCAGACCTTCTCTGTGTCACAACGAAGTCCTGCTTGTTTCAAAGCACCTGGAGGTCTCTTCAGTGAGATCATACTCGGTAAGTCTGGGCACGGAAAAGCTCTTTGTAGTTTTTTTTAACCCTCCTTTCCTAAGGGAAGGAGGATTAATTGTAGAAGCTGTGCTAAGAGTAAGGAGTTGCAAGGAGAGTTTTCTCAAGGCTAAACAAACGTGGCTCCTTCACCCAATCTTGTTATTTTCTCTCTTCCTCTCCTTTTTTTCTAGTTTCTTCTCTGAATTAAGTTTCTCTCATTACTTGGATCCCCTTCGTTGTCCCTTATGGCTCTCAAGGAGGTCAGTTCTTGCAGTGGGTAATGCTATTTTCCTTTTTAGATGTTTTTTCTTAAATGCATTACAGGGTTCTGTGACTTGTAATTTCCGATGAGTGCCATCCGACCATTTAATTCTTTGCAATTGCTATAGTAGATGCCAAACACATTTGCAGTAATTGGATGGCACTTAGGGGATTAGCCAAGACTGCCAAGACTCGCAGTCGTCCAAACCACAGCTGGGGTTTTGTGCTGTTTCCATGGAAGCCTTGCTGGGTCTGCTTCTAAATTTGTTTGCAATCTCCATTTTGAATAATATCCCCTGTGCAAAAGCCTTGTCAACATTTGTGGCCTTGCTGTGTGGCCCTGACTCCAGTGCACGCTGGCAGTGGTGCAGTTGTGCCGTTCCCCTGGATGGCAGAAGATCTGCAAGTGACTCCTTCAGAGCCATGAAACATCTGACCCCAGCCAGGATAACGGGTTGGCAGCTGTTTGGGGTTCAGGTGTCACAGGCAGGGAAGCTGCTGCAGATGTCCCAGAGGTCTCTGAACTGTAGGTGTCATTCATGATCTTTACACATCATGCAAAAGGGAGGGTCTTTCTGCTCATGAGTAGGAAATACAGAGTAGTATGGATCTGGTCTTAAATCCTTTTCCATTCAGGTCTGTTCTCCTGGCACTGCTCATTAGGCTGGAAGGATTTGTTATGCTACCTTTGACTTGCTCTGTTGGGGAGAGGTGACTCTCAATGCTGCTGGTGGCCCAGGAGAGCAAGAGAGATGCTTCTTCTCTACTGGTGCTGGTCACCCATCCACTATCTTAGCTCCGAGTCCTGGCTTGGCTCTGGATCATTCCGGGTCTGGATATTAGCTCCTTGTATTGACCTGATAGATTTTTGGCTATTTTTGCAGTGATCTGACCGAGGAGTAGGAGGTGTGAAGGTGGGCGGTGACTGACAAGGGCTGATGCATCTGAGATGGCTTTTTAATTGTATCCTTGAAGGGGAGGACAGGATGCATTTTGTGATGCTATTTTAAAGCGGGGTGATACCAGCTGCATATGTCTCTCTCGTGTGCCAGAAAGATTCACAAGCCTTGGGTTATAATTCCCTCGGCGTGTTCAGAACCGTGGGAGTGTGGTGGCCTGGTGGTGAGCAGAAGAAGGTGAAGCAGAAGTCTGATTCTTAGAAAAGCTTATCTGGAAAAAGGGCATAAGTAGTTCTTCATTATTAAGTGCAGGGTGCTGACGCAAGAGCATCAGATAGGAGCCATGAAGTGCTTTGCTGGGCTTGAGAGCCTGTTGGGGCAGCTTTATTTGGAGGCTAATTGGATTGCAGC